AGATATTGCTTTCCTTATATTCCTTTATGTTTAGGTATACTGGTGCACCTTATTTTGCTGCCATATCAGCTTTGAAAACGGTTGGTTTATAGGAATAGTTATTCACATTATAACGTTGTTAAATAGCCTAGATGTGTTTTTCGACGTGTGCTTCACACTTATCTGGGATGGATTTGGATTCAGACAATACTGGACTTTTTGTTTATACTATAATCTGATTTGTTTCTGAAATATCGTAATTATTATATTGAAAATACCGAATTATGCCATGTACTTTGTTTAATGACCTACAAATTCTGTCTTTCTTTCAAAGGGTGCAGACCTTTCTCATGTCTTCTGCCCAGCTGATGCAGCTACAGTTATTAAATCTTACAGTCCTGAACTTATTGTGCATCCTTTGTTGTAAGTCTGTGTTAAAATAAATTGTAGCAAATGTATATGTCCAATGTCCAAAATCCCTTCCACTTCGGCAAACTTAAGACAGTGTGAGCAAAGTATGGATGACTTTGTATATATTATCTATCAGTATGTATCATATCCCATCAAACACATACAATGTATTGGTGAGTTACAGTGCAAAATCAACATATCATCTTCAGATCCAGGGCTATYAACCCAACATACTTTGTATTAACTCCTCTTAACTACCCACCCATCTCTCACCCCACAATTGATATTTGTTTTCTGTAGAGATAGAAAGCATGCAGTAAATGAAGTTTCTGAGTGGCTCACAAGGTTACATAGTTTAGTGGTTGGTCCAGGGTTGGGAAGAAATCCAGCGATTATTGACAATGCAAAGGTATTGTTACCTGACATTACTTAAGCTGGTTCATATGTCGACTTATGGTGCCATGCCACTGCCGTGCTACAGCTGTGCTGAACTCAATTGGTCCATACATCGAGCTATTCATGTGCTAAATTCAAACCATTTGGTTCGGTGTGACACTGGCTCAACGTTTGAACCGGGCCGTATTTTCTTTGTGCTTATGCTACACATGTGGTCGCATTATTGCATGTGCAACTTATAAAATTCCATGTTTGTTGAAGATAAATGATTATTATTCAATTGTGTAGGCTTTGATTGAAAAAGCAAGAAAACAAGGAAAGCACTTAGTTATTGATGCTGTAAGTACAGATTCTATCAAAAGTGTACAAGATTTGTTAGATATTAGAAAATAACAAAAGATTGCTCATCTTGAAAAAATGCACACAAAACTACAATTGTAGTCATCATAACTTGATATTTTTACTGCAACATGTGGTTTATTAAGTAAAGTTAAGTCTTACTAATTACTGTAATATAGTTGGTGAGTTTTATTATGCAATCAATTAACATTGTACTTTTAAACTGATTTCTGATGATAATTGTACTTATTGTAAACTGATTTCTGATGATCATGAATGATAACATTATTTTTAACATTATTTACCGGCTGGGAGGTCCTTATAGGAAAACAATGCCCAAGGTCTTGAAAGTACAGAACGAGCGCAGTGAGTTCCGTGTATATAAGACTTGTGGCAGTGTTTTCCTATATGGACCCACCTATAGCCGGTAAATAACATTTCTATTTCTTTATTTGAATTTTATGCAACTTTGCTCGAAGCCTAGTAAGCTGCAGGATACTGTGGAGCAGGCAAATTGTGAAAAACCAGACCTTGTGTTTGCCAATCACAGTGCGCAAATGACTAGGGTACCAGACTGAAAAAAATAATGACAGAATATCTACCTCTTAGATCAATGTATTGCATTAACAATTTGATATATTTTGATAAATTGTCATGATATTTTTAGGATGGTTTATTTATAGTCACAACTTATCCAGATCTCATCAGAAACTACACCAGAGTCATTCTTACTCCTAATGCTGTGGAGTTTGCAAGGTTATATTCTGCAGTGGTGAGTAGAGAAAAGAGAAAGATTTAGTGAAAAATATTGCATGTATTTCCTGAAAGTAGCTTTATTCTTCATTATTGTTAGTAGTACACATCACAGCGGACATGTTGGTTGAACTTCAACAAACTAAGAATTTTCCTTTAGTATCTATGGTTTATTCAAATCACATAAATTTGCCAATCTGTTGTCTTTTAAATCTCATGGGAATTCATCAAAGTCATAATGGATTTTCCTTTAGTATCTATTGTTCATTCAAATTACATAAATTTGCCAATCTTTTGTATTTTAAATCTCATGGGAATTCATCAAAGTCTCATATCAGTTCTTTGGAATAGCTCAGTTGTAGTCCACTCAGCCTCATGATTAAAATTAAGTACCATATATATTGTGACTTGGATTTTTTAAAACTTGATATTTTTTCGACTCCTAGATGGGACAAAGTAGTGAACAGGGCGGGGATCTTCAAACACAAGTYGTCAATCTCAGTAAAACACTTGGTCATGTGACAATATGTAGGAAAGGCCAAGTGGACATCATATCAGATGGTAGAACGGGTAAATTTATTATCAATAAATAAATATAATATACCACAGGCAGCCCAACCATTCAAGCACTTCCACTTCTTTTTTCAGTGCTGTTTTTGTGCTATTTTGAGGATTAGGAGGCCAAAATGAGTAAACTACCTTAGTTACCATGAATAGCTACAATCTCCGGCAAAAAAAAATTATCACCTACCCTAAGCAATGTTGATTGCGGACCACAAAAAGACATGATTTCCTGGCAATATGCGAAGACATCATTGAACCAGGGAAAGGGATCGCAAGTGACCCGTTTATATTGTAGAAGATTGTAGTTTTTTTTTCTTTCAAGAGGTTTTTGACTGGAAAGAATGAATACTGYTTGAAGTATGTGTTTATCTTATTTTTTGTTGTCCTTAGTTGTGCTTGGTGCTACGCCAGGAAGCAACAGAAGATGCGGTGGTCAGGGTGATTTGCTGGCTGGTTCAATGGGGACCTTTGTATACTGGGCACATTATTCTCTTGAAAAAAGTAGAAATGAAGACAAAATAAGGTAGACTACCATCAGTGACAAAGAAGCATTAACAATGATTATTATTATTCTTTGGGCATCTTTAGGCTCATGTATTGCACATAACTGAGGAATATATGAATTTTTACCACAATTGTAAATTTTCTCTATTTTTGATTGGTCGAGAGACATGACAAATATCAGTACATACCACATTTATACTCGATTATTCTTTTTTTCCGGGATTGTTATCTTATTGTAGAATATTTTTTTGTGTCAAAAAACAAATTTATCATCAAAATTGAGTTATCCACTTGACTTTTGTGTTGTGGATGAACTACAATTTTGACAATTCGATAGCATGATCATATCGACATTTATAAATAAGAGGACTTACCATGAGAAACTAATAATAATTTTGCTACTTTATTTCAGTGATTATAGCTCTACTATTATAGCTGCCTATGCCGCCAGCACCTTAACTCGCACTTGCAGTAACTTGGCGTTCCCTAAACATGGCAGAAGTATGACAACAACAGACATGATTGATGAGATACACTTTGCCTTTGAGAAACTATTTGGTTCTCCTTGAGGTGACATTTCTATGGATTTATACTACTGACTAGAGGTATCTGTGAACAAACAGCTTTCATACAATGGAGGTATTTGTAGAATGGAGGCTTCTCTAATATTGAGAATGGAATATGGAGTATTCAATTCAAAACAATAATAATATACATAGAGTGTAAACACTAAAACCATGAAACGTTTTTAATTAAATTCTGCAAAATTGTACTGAATTCTGCGAATTCTTTGTTTTTATTGTCCAAACTACACCATATTGCGCTATTTAGCACGATTTGGTCAGTACTTATTCATGCTTTTAGTGTTTTCACTCTATTAATCAAAATTTAAGGTATGTGTAAAATGTCATTTGTGGTTTTGATTTTCAACCAATAATATCGCTCTGATATCAACGGACCAATCAGCTGCAACATTCAGATCTTGAATGTAAACACTGACATGGAAGTGAGATTTGCTATCCGTGCCGCCAGAGGCTGGTTTACGGTTCGGCCTTCGGCCTCAAAGGCCGGCGCTCCGCGCCGTATATAAACTATAAGAACGAGTAAATCCAGCCTCTGGTTCCCAGGGTACATTGTTGTATAGGATTCTATAATATAGATATCCTTATTTTGAAAGGTATCCATAATACACAGGTATTTTATTATAGGTTATATGTACTGGTTTCCGTAATATTACATGATATAAAGATCTATCTCTTTATTATAAATCTGCTGGTACATTTTCTAGCTACTTTTAAGTTTAAAAACTACTTTAGAAAGACGCCAGTAACATAGACCCATATTTTAGATTTCCGTAATATTGACGCCATAAACCAAGGTGTGGTCTCACATTTAATCATTTTTAACAAATAAAATGCATAAAATGCGCAGAGTCAGTTTAAAAATTAGCTTCATTTCCAAGTGTTATTGCAAATTTCGATGAAGAAAAAAATGGTTGAAATGTTATTCTGATAACACCTTCACCRATGGGAAAATTTTAGTTGAAATAAAACAGGTGAGCATGTAGCTTGATTAGTGCACATCCCTCAACAATGGAATTTCATTATAATAAAATACCACACGAGTTTTCAAGGCTAACATATTTCAATGAGCGGCGGCAAAATCAATCTAATCCTTGTRTTAAGATCAAAGAACCGACCATCTCTCCGTATAAATTAAATCTGACGTGATTTGTGCTTAGAATTACTGCTATGAGTTTGATTTTCTTTACATCAGACTCAATTTATCAACTTTTTAATTTATAAARTACATGCAAATGGTAGAAATTACAGAATATATTTTCAAATTATTTTAATCAATGAAAATATTGGTTAAATAAGCAAAGATCCAAAAAGGGGTTATCAAATCTATATAAATCGCACTATAAAGTCTTTAAGTAAAAGGTGCACTAAACATTGAATTGAGTTATTTAATGACTGAATTCCTATTAAAACGTAAGTAAGATTATTCGGGACCTGTAACGCTAAAAATCTATAGTAGCATCGTAGAGTACAATTGTAGGTGCAGAAAGCCAAGCAGCTTGTTTTACGATGCCTTAAAGTGCATTAAACTGAAGTAGATRAAAACAGCGTCACTTCAAACACTAGCCGTGGTTATTGTACTTTGTTTGAATTACGGTCAATTATAGACATTATGATGTTTTAAAAGAAACCACTAATGAATTTAATAGCAGCGTCTACTCAATTACGGTAATGTTTTATGACATGTGATAAAAGGTGGTATAAATTGCTTGCTCTAATGTATGTGTTTTTTGTTCTTGAATAAAAAAATCGTTCTTTGTTTTTAGAACGTGCTATTGATCAAATGGAAACTGACTTTTACAACATGAMCGCCACGCTTTTACTSAAAACGTCCTGAAACATAAAAATAGAATGAAAGRGAATAAAATAAAAATGAAATGAAATGGGAGTGCAATTATAATAAGATCAAGAAAACGAGGAAAAAGTAAAAAGTAGATTGTTAAAATTTTCGCGACAATCGTTTTATCATAATTAGTAGCCAAGATAAATATAATTAATTAATGATTAATTATAAAATAATAAAAAATTAATGTCGAATCAGTTATTTCTATCCAGAACACGATAGATTAGCGTCAAATTTATTGACAACTGGTTTTATCATGATTATGAGATAAAATTAAGATAAAATGCATTAAAATGACGTTAATTGGGCAACGGGATGCTCTGATAAGACCAATTTCTGACACGACTCCGAGATCAGCCAAGTAAAACACCATTTTATCGAGCCACTGCTGGGCGATAAGACAGCAACCTCAACATAAGGAAATCGTCTGATTTTAGAAGAATCAAATTAGGGTATAATATGTATTGCGAATATTACTGTTAACAAAAACATCGTTTATATACTCAAACCGTAATGTCTTCAAACCCATTTCACTCTCCAATTTGGTGAAATACGCTTTTTAAGATCTCACCACATAACGCCAAGCAAAGCAGTTTTGTGTGTTAATCACTTAAGGCCGCAGTACATCTGTAATGCACTCATGTGAGTAATTGATAATCAGGACATTGAGAAAAGTGTTTTTTTAGGGCATTACTGAAGCCTGCAAAAACAACCGGTTATTATTCAATTTTGTTATTATTCTAGGATCGATGACAGCCAAATGGGTTTATTTCAATGAATACGCGATGATTAAATTTACAAGTGTATTGTTATTGCAATTGTTCGTATTACGATCTATGTTTGTAATAGAAGTTCATGCCTAAAATATACATACAAAAACGAAAAGTTCTCTGAGAAAGCGCACTCTAAGGATAATTTTATGCAAAAAATGCCAAAATGCGAAACTACTGAAATATGAATGAAAAAGTGTGCAACAATGTCAGTTATTAAAAAGACACTAAATAAAACTAGCAGGATTTAGGAATTGTGGAAATTGTAGTTGCCATAAATATTGATTTTGGTAATATTGTTGATAATCAATGAAATGATCTAAACATTACAACGGTAGTGATAATAACGACGATGTTGATGATTAAATTATGATGATGATAATGCTGATGATGTCAGTAGGCGAAGTGCATCAGTCAAGAGTCTTAAACCGGAAGCCAACGATGACCGTAATTGTATGTCGAGGAGCGGTTTGTGTGTCTTGGCTGAATGTATTATGATAATAATCATGCCAAAGGATTATTTYAAGATGAATTATATTCGTGTACAATAAGTGTTCTTTACCGATGTAAGATTTTGTATTGCACGATTTAGTGCAGATTAGTTCATGTGAGAAAAGAGGATTTCAGATGTCCGAGACTTTCCTGGGCCACACGCAACAAATGAAAGCCACACATCAGTCAAACTATTTTCTCCTCTCTCCCACAGATCTCAAGACTGAGGGGGGGAAGGGCAGGGTTAAATTAGGCGTTATTACTTTCGAGCATTTTGGATATATCCTGGATGAAAAGCGTAGTTTGGGACTTAGGTGAAATACGCTGGTAACGATCGTTTAAATATTTTTTCGCCATACTAGAAAGAAGCTTAGTCTTTGACTTTCACTCCTGATAGAGAAATATAGGTCTTGGACAAGGCAACGACAAAACTTCCTTTGAGAGTAGACAGGCGTGCACTGCCCGAGCTTTTCCYTCATCATTCATTTCATCCCCTTACGTGAACTCCTTCCCCTGAAGGGCATAATGCACTTCTAGTTCTGTTGTTAAAAGATGCAGCRTTGAAATAGCTTTCGGTGTGCCKGATACCACTCGCTAAATCTTCCTTAAGCAGTTGTATATGCCGAGCTTTTGTTCTTAGTGTTATATCCTATAGCACCATAGATGGACAATCRCCGTACTGTGCTGCAGACACGCACTGATATTCGATCAAGCTTTGCCATACTCACGACGGACACGAGGCACTCTTTAAAACTAWTGTTACAGATCTGTGGCCTTGAGGTTATCCGAATAAGTTTTAAGGTTTTAGTGTAAAAGTTTGTTTGCCCTTTTAATTGAAGGTTCAATCTCTAACTTCGGGTGGTCTAAACCCTCCYAGACGGCTTTCTAGAGATTAGGAAAGATCAGAATTTGTAAAAATGTGAGACGTTAATTCGGCGATAGTCCACCATGCACAGGTCACAGTAG